GGCCCTTTATGTCTATTATTGTCTGTAGCCATAAAGGCTGAGGCTATAATGAGAGGAAACAAAAAATAATTTGAGAATTATTTCAGGATACTCCAGTTCCTCAAGCTCAGTATGACTTGAATTACAAGCTGCACAATTGTTCAGGCAACACACAGAATGGTGTTTTGCCATGGTGCCTCAAAGAGTTTGGTCCTTGTAATACAAATAAACCTTCATATCCATTTTTACTGAAAAAAATCAAAATCCTTACTTAACCATTAGCCTGCATGCATCTGACTGGCATACTTCAAGATGGATGCTGTGACAGTAGAGTGCCTCGCTACATCATTATCTTTCAGACCAGAAGCAAATTTCATTTGCAGTGAAATAGAAATCGCCAGCCTGATGTATTGAAAGACTGAGTAGACACTCCATGAAAAATGTCTGCTACTCTTCTACACAACAGATTGGGAATTTTCCTTTCTGCTTGGCATAGCAACAGGCTTGGCAGAGATAGTAGTTAGGGACTGTCCAGTGCACACCAAAGCTTCCCATCTGACTGTGTTTATTTGTGAGTACCAGAGGACTTTGGTTGTCCCCATTCTCGTCTAGCCCAAATGGACAAATAGAAGACACCTGCTTATTTTCTCATTCTGGGAGTGCTCCCCATCGTCAGCTGCTCCAATTGGAAACATCATCACACTTCTCTGTGTTATAGTCTGAAACATCCTGGCAACAGGAACTGTGGAACCATCCCGAATAAAATCTGGATCTTCTCCAAAAACTGAAACACGTGAGAAGAATGAACTCATTACTAAGTGAAACAAAGGTGCTTTCTTCTGCTACCGTGTATTTGAACAGACAGCCAATAGTAAGAGTTTCTAAGAAATTGTTTTGAGTGTGTAACCAATTGATTTAATGAATCAGCTGCACTGTACAAACCTCTGGCTTCATATCAATACACAAACTAAATGAAGTCTTTTGGCTACCTCTATTAAATGTATCCTAATTCAGCAAGGTGTGAAAGAAGATGTGGCTGAGCTGTTCTGTCAAATTCAATGAGATTCACAGGGGGAATGACTGTAGCAGTGAACTGGGAAATCCCTTTTGCTCTAGGGGTGAGCACAATTCCCCTGCACACTTGCAGACACATTAAGAATTGAAGAAGAGCAGCTGCATACCTGTTTTTATTGCCCTCCTTGCTGCCTTATAGGGTGGATCATTAACATCAGCGAGCCAGGGCTTTGCACTCAAAGGCATAGACACTTTCAGTTTGTTTGGACTGTTCCTTTTGGAGAAGACACCCTCCAAGTGCTCCACCACCTTTGAGGAAAACACGTTGCAGTGAAAAGTGTCTATCTTCTTGCAACTCAAGCTTACACCCACTGCTCTTAGAAACAAATAAATGCTGGAAACATTCAGTTTGATACTTGGAGTGTAAATTTGTGAGGTGCTAAGAGGGACTTGGTTTATATAATATAGGGCAAAGAAAAGGTTTGCCTCTTACCTGTTGTTTCACAACTGAGAGGTCCATGTGGGGCACCTGACGGATTGAGAATTTGCCAATGACTTTTGCTGGAATGACTGTTTTAATTCCTGGTTCATGAAAAGCTCCTTCAATCCCATGAATAGAGAGAGAAGGGCAACGCCACAGGTGTAGAAGTATTTCTTCCTTAAAAAAAAATAACATTGAGAATATGACAGGTTACACTGGAGCCTTTCACAATTGATATAATTCATCACAAGCTTTTGAAGCTTTCGCCATGCTAAAATTTGTATTTGGAAGCCTCTGTATTTTAAAGATGTTTGATTTGTAATTTAAACCCACGTGCTTATCTTTTAATTTTAAAAAGTACTACCTCTTTCAGTCAGCATTTGGTTACCTTTAGAAATATTTGGATGAGAACAGCTTTTCATCCACAACAAGAAAACTGAAGCACTGTTATAAAATAACTTGGAAGTAAAGTTTTATAGCACAAATTAAAATTAGAACAACTTCTGATCCGACCATCTGTTGATCTTAACTTCTTGCAGGAGAAAACTGTGACCAGTTTCACCAGACCCAGGCGATACCAAGGAAGAAATCTACTAATAAGCACTAAATAATACAAGAGGTAAGGTGATAATGATCAGTAACTAAGTTGACTGGTTTTTTTGAGAAGATAAAAAGGGTGGGGGGAAAAAAAAGTTTATTCTAAGGAAGAAAGGAGAAATATATAAATTATAAATTGGTCTTTGTGCAGAACCTCAGGGTGCTGCTCCTTTCCTTCTAGTGATTTTGTGAGACTGGAGCTTTATGTACACATAAAATTTGCACTGTTTAATGCTCATATAGACAAAGCATCAAAACTTATGTAGTATAGTTACATTATACTTCTGTATTACTGGTTATTACTGTCTAGCTTAGGCTAATTTGGAAACCTTTTCATGGAAATAAAAGCATCCATATTTGAGCTCATACCAGTATAATTACGTTAGTGATAAAAAAACCCAAATCACTCTTCTTCTTTCTCCCAGCTGCCACTCTTGTGCAGAGGGACCTTTCTGAGCCAGCCCTTACCTGCTGTTTTTTATTTAGGATATAATTTTTAAATGCTGACAAAGAGAATCTTATAGCTTTGGGTGCTTTTTTTGGCATGCTCAGCAGACATCAAAATCTGGATTAAACAAAAAAACTACTCAAACCCCATCTGCCTTAAGCTACTTCCCATTTTTCAGAGCCAAATATATCTTTCATGCTATGTAACCTGTGTGCAGGGGTTTTAACATTTATTTGTTTGGCTGGTTAGGCATGGAGGGAGAGAAGGGGTAGTACAAGGAAAACGGAGCAATACTCTTAGTTTTGCATTGTTCCTTTTCATTCATTATTCGTATTTCGGATCACTTTTGCCAGATGTGGCAGCTTGCATTTCCAGCAGATTAATTTTATTTACCTTGTAATGCTCTGTGCCCCTTTGAGTTTGCCATTGACTGAAAACACACATAAATGCTATGAATGGGTGATTTCAATTCTTTCTACTGATCATTTATACAGATTTTATGTTACCTTGGTGCCATAGAGGAATTTTTTCACGCCACTATTATTTTTATGTTCCTCTAGATCAAATTCAATCGATTCATACAATTTCCTCTCCTCCTCTGTCAGGGGAGCAACACTGTCATAGATTCCAGGGATCTGAATACGACCTGCAGCATCCACAAGGCTGTCTAGAAAATAAGAGAGAGAGATCAGTACAAGCATGACCTGTTTCTTCCCCTTGGCAATCACACCTTTTCCCTTCCACCTAACTCTTTACTGAATCAGTGAGCCAAACAACTACTAACAACTGTTGGCATCCATCGAACTGTGGCACCTAATTTGATGTATTTTCATATTTATTAATAAAACCATTGAGCTGCTGTTTGTGTGTAGTGTGCCAGCTACAGACATGAAAACATCATCCTGCTGAGATACAAAAAGTCTGGGTTTGCTACATACGTCTCTATTCCAATTGCCAGCAATCCTTAAACACTCTTGGTTGATGCATGACTGACGACAGCATAATGGGCACATATCTGAGGTCCTGGAGTCACTGGGGACATTCCCCTCCTCAACTGCTGTCACCAAAGCTATGCTGAGTTTTGGGAACCTGGGAATCTTGCTTCAGTTAGACCTGCCTGACTCAGGTCGGTTAAACACGGCCCCAGTGGTGGTCAGGCTGAGTGCCAGCCACTGCTCCCCGGCCACCCCCGAGCCCAGAGTCTGTCAGTACCCAGCAGAGCTATCAGGTCCGTCATCGGCTCATGAATGATGCCTCCAAAGGTTCCAGAGTGAAGGTCCTTCTCACCACATTCAACCTGTACCAGAAACACTGGTTACATATAAATACTCCCTGCTGGATTCTCCTGTGCTTGTTTTCCACAGCGACTCATGGCTTCAGGTCTTTAAACAAGGCCACAAATAAACAGAAAATTGTGTGTTTCTATTTATAAAGTGGAAAAACATGTCAGGAACAACCTGCTCTGCTAAAAAGTAGATAGGGCTTTCCTGCTAACCATGAGAGAGAGAGAAATTCATCTGTCTACAGCACTTACAGGCATTTGTGAGGAAGAGCCCCCCTCCATTCCTTCTGCTAAAGAAAGATTAAATACATCATAAGTGAAACACCTGCATATTACTGTTCCTAACATTGCAGAATAAATACTTCAAGTCCACTCTCCTTTTTATTTAATGCAAAACCTTCATAATAAAGACAAGAAAGAACCTTACTTGTAAAGTTTGCATGAAGAAAATGTGTCCAACCTTAATTCCCGATTGTAACAAATAGGAGTTTAGAGGTCTCTTGAATCATATGGCTTTAGGATAGAGAGAGGCATTTGGTTTATGAAATGGGTTCTTTTTCCAAACATGTTTTCATACTCAGGTTTATCATAAACTATTTTCCTGCAATAAACTTATTTATTCTTCTGAAAACCTCATTACAGCCAACAGTCAGGTCACAGGCAGAGATCATTTCTGATGTTTTAGTAGCATTATTTTTCTTAACCAAGACTTAGAAGAATTGAATCAAGGCTGCCGAGGCTCTTTTGGTTAAAAACAAATTTCATTCTTTTTCAAACATAAAGGTTAATGCAGATTTTTCTTTAGTTCTCGAGTTCTTTAATCTTCTCTCTGAATTATGCTTCATCAGAAAGTTTCAGGATGAGAAATTTCTGCTCTTCATTTCACAGTAGCTCATATTGTCTTCTAAATATACTGCAAGTGCACTGTTGTTTGCTTCTGCCAATGGTTACAAAATTTTTGCGTGGCTTTCAAACCCAGGGATCCAACTAAATTGAGTCCCTTAAGGCTGATAACTTGCACTAAGTGGTATCTGCTGCAAAAGGGCAGAGCAGCCAAAGAAATGGGTTTGGGATGAGGGAGTCGGGTGGTGTAGGGACGATGCTGCAAGAGAACAGAGCTGATGTGCAGAGGGAGTGGTGAGAAAAGACTGGGAGAGTGGCAGAGGAGTAACAGATTAGGAACGGGACTGAGGCAGCAGAGGTATAGTGGAGAAATGATGATTGAAGAGAAGCTGATGAAAGTAAATAGGGCTAATTGAACTCAAATGAGGAGGGAAATCTGTACAAACCAAAAGGGATACGGCAGAAAGCTCTGTTTGTAAATTTTAAGCTTGCTGTCAGTCTTGCCTGCAGGTGTAGGTGTGACTGCAGGCACAGCAGTGCTCTGGTCAGAGCCCAGGTGAGGCCAGCCCGCCCCTGTACCTGCACAGTGAAGCAGGCGCTCCCCCGGCTCCCGTAGGTGAGGGCAGGCTTCCTGCTGCTCAGCCAGAGGCTGTCCGAGATCACAACACAGTCCACATCAGAGAAAAACCTCTGCTTTTCTTCTTCAAGTAACTTCTCCAGCCCCAAGGACCCTGCTTCTTCCATGCCTTCTATGACAAACTTGAAGTTCACTGGCATAGCCTAAACGAACATTAGAGAAGTCTAGGTAAGAATTAAGAATTTGAAGAACTCATATCTTTAAAACCAGAAGCAGACTAGCTTGCAGTGCACATGACATTAGAAGAAAAAGATGTAGGATATATAGCTTGCTTTAGTAGAAAGGGCAGTGATAGACACAGTTTCCCATAAAAAATGGTTTAAATTTTTTTTTAAAAAATGTTTTTCCTCATGTTTTGATCAACTTTTCATTTTTGAAAGAGAATAAGTGATTTTTATTTCCTTCTTTATGTTTTCAGAAAGCTTGCCTGGCTGTCATTAAATGAGCTCTCTCTCAGTGCTGTTAAATATTCTGATTTCTTTGGAAATTCCATCTGTGTCATAAGAACTTTCACAGAAAGTTTCCTGCCTCTTATATTTCCACTGTTAGTGCCCACATGGGAACCCCTGCAGAGGTCCACTGCTGCCATTGTCCCCACGTTATCTATTGCCAGAGCTACTCACATGGAGGTAGAAGTGCTGCTGGTGATTCTACTGCAATTGTCCTTTTAGCACTCATGAATTTGTTTGCCTGCGAGTTCATAAGGATGTATTTGCAAGAGTAATTAGGAGAACTTTTATTATGGCCTGGGGTGAGTTAGAAATGCTGACGTGTCCCATAAGAAAAATAAATTTGAGCTTAGTTTCCCATTCCAATTCATTTTCTCATTACAGATTTTAAGATGCTTTCTCTTTTGATTCAATGCCCTGATTAAACACAGGAACAAATGTGTAGAATTAAATGAACTCGTGTTATAGATGGGTTCACCCATGGTTCATCAAACTACCACAAAAAATTTAGAAGCAAACTGCTCATGAATATTGTTTGATGGCCTGTATTGTTTTCTAGGGAAAGGCTTCAAATGACAAAGTTCTTTTTGCCTGCTTCTTAAAATGCCAAAACAGCTCTTAGTGATTTGAAAAGCTGCAAAGATGCATAAGGACAGCCCCATAACCATATTCCCTTACAACAGCTAATCTGTAGGCAAATAACATGTGTGTTTGCTAGCACTTAAGAGACACTGAGATCAATTCAGTAGTGTTGGTACTAGAACAATGTCAGTTTTCCAGGTTGCAAAAGGGCATGAAAAGTCAAAACTTAAAGTTCAGTTTGTGCCATAATGTCATGAAAGAGCCACAAAACTGCTTCTCAGCAATCTAACAAAGCATGTCATGCAAATTCACCTTAAAGAATACTTGCTAACCAAGTTAGAAGCTTAGACTAGGTGTTGGTTTAGCTTTGCATTGGGGATACAACTAGCCTAAAATTATTAACTATGCAGACTGATTTGCAGATAGCTATGCTGGTTATTGTAGTAACTTAAGCAAAAGTTTGGCTTAGAGATGTGTCAGTCTCTGAGTATATTTTTACTTGGTTAATGGGCCCATTCAAAGCATTTGCTTTGAATAAATCTAATATTAGATTTGCATAAATCTAATAGACTGTTGGAAGAACAACTCATTACATTTTCAGATGCTTATTCTCTTCCTACATACCCATAAAATGAAGGTAACTTGTAGGCAGACAAACCCAAAGATCAGCAGAACGTAACAGCAGAGCTGTGTCTTCATGACCAATCTGTGAGGCATGTCTTACCATTGTAAAAGCTCAAGAGAACAGAGTATCAAGGCAGTTTAATGTATGCAATATATGTAGTCTGTTGGGACAGAGCCATATCATCTAACCCACAGGAATGTAAATGCATCCCTCAGAGATATAATAATAATAATAGTAATAATAAAGTCCTCATTGATACCTACTAACTTCAAGGCTCTAAATGTTTCCACTGCATTTATCCAAGCTAGGACAGGTCCTTTATTATCTGTTGCACCACGCCCATAGAGATTTCCTTCAAAGGAAAAAAAAAAAGGAAAGATTTTAAGCAATCTTTGAAAATTCTCTTATCCCTTCAATGTCATCAGTAAACTCCCATTGCCATAGAAGCTGTAGTGGTGTGTCAAAGTGTCAAAAGTCAGGATTTAACTGACTTCTTTTAAATAAGGTGACTGGTGTTTCCCAGGGGACTAGTTAATTTTTTTTCCCCTTTCCTTTTATATATGTCATGTTATGATTTCTCCTACAAGCCAGTTTCTGAGATTCACTTTTGTTCTTCAGAGCTCTTTGTTCACAGTAGACAAACCTGAAGAGTCTGCACAATCTGCAACTCCTGTACAGGTGAAAAGCAGGAAAAAACCCCACAAAATACCACAGTAGAAGTATGAAGCTACAAGTCTAGGTACATAACTTCTTTTAAGTGCTCAACTGTACAGTAGTGTACAGGGACAGATTTCAGTTTTGTGTACAGTGATAAATTTCTGTGGCCATTGCCACTAGAGGCAGAAGAGTTACCCCAGTAAGGCTGTTTGGAAGCAGTTCCAGCTGACGGGAAAGAACAACTTAGTGGTTATACCACAGGCCTGGCAATCAGGATTTCTGGGTTTTCATCCATTTTTGATTTTTAATCATCCACTGAGCCTCTGCCCATCATTTTTGTTCCTTCAGTGAATGGAGCTTTTCATGCTTGGCTGGCTGCAGTGGAAGGATGGTTACATAAAGGAGGGGGGGGCTCACAATCTTCCACTGCAAATGCTCCAGCATGGCAGGTGGAGGTACTAAAGGATCAGGAAGCAAGAACAGGAGGTGCAAGGGAGGATAATGGTTGATGCAACAACCCAACAAGAATTTTAAAGCAGACATGGATTCTCTATTGAATAGTCTCTATGAAATGTCATTAAGCTCATGTGGCTCTTCCACACCAGATAGGCAATAACTGTGGAGTCTTGCTAGTCACAGCATGGTCATCAAGACTCAAAGCTGCTGGACTTGCCCCAGAGATTTCCATGGGAGAGGTCTTCATGCTTTGGTTAAATATACAGGGAGACTCCTTCCACTCAGAACCTCACTCGTGTATTCGAATAACGACACGACACTTGTGAGCAGGGACACACCATCGATTTCAGTCAAGGTGTAAGGATCAGTTTTCCAGCCATCTTCCTTTTTGGCAGGCTGCACATCCACATGGCCATAGAAACATACAGTGGGGTTCTGTGCATCCTTCCTCAGTTCCCCAAGAATCACAGGAGGCAATGGGAGGTCCTGGCCATCAGGCAGCTGGGGAGAAATTTTAAAAAAGCACAACTAAAGAAAACAAACCCTTTTAAAACTTATGAAAGTTCATTAATGAAGTGGAATTCTCAGTACTCAAAATGCTTCTACATACTCTGTTGGCTCTGATTTGATCAGATGGGCAAACATGATTTTGAATCCAGCTCTAATCTACCCTGATAAATTAAGATTTTTTTTTTCTCCCCACTTATTTAGATTCTGCAGGGTCTTTATAGAGTTGTTCTAACATTTTACTGTCACAAATTCCATTGTTACTAAACTCTCACTTCCCAACACTGGAGAAAGCAAAGCTGACTGTCCTGTAGTCACAAAGGCATATATTGTGATGCCAAAATAGTCAAAAGCCACAAACTAATTTGGGGGTTGATTTCACCACAGAAACAGGGCAGGAGTCCTGTAGCCTGGAATGCAGAAACAGAGTTTTGGGTGCAGGAGGCAGAAACTGTTTTGAAAACAAGCTAAGGCTCTAAACTAATCCTGCAACATACTGCTGTGCAGAGCAGATCTCCACACTGGCCAGGAGAGGCTGGGTGTCTCACAGGAGGGAGAAACAAGCTGAAGGAACGTGTGTACTCCCTCCTATTCACCAGTAATATCAGGCTGCTTTGGCCTGTTGAAACCCAAAAGCATTGCTGCTCCTTGCCAAGCAAAGGAAAAACCCATTTTGTGAAGCAATATTTTGGCCCTAGGCAGAGAAGAAGATCTCTGCACTCTGCTCCAACAACAGGTAATCTATTTCCTGCTATTACCAGCACAGACTGTTGCTGTTATGTATTTTGGTGATCATAACTGCATGTCAAGTGCATGCTAAAGTGTTAATTTTAAGTGCATCCATTACAACTATTAAATGGCATAACTTGAAATTAAAGTATTGCTGCGCTGCAAGGTCTTACACAGACTCTCAGAATCCTCCCCAGAGGAAGGAGAAGGGAGTCACTATTAATGAACTTTTGAATTCCTGTTAGAATAGAAAACTAACAGCACAGCTTGAAAGAGCCCTGACCTACTGCAAGGTCCATAAATTAGAGACAAATTTCTGAGGTTTACTCTTGCCTATTGGCTTCCAATAATCATTAAGACAATGGGTTGGAGCATTTGTCAGAAGCTCCAAAAACCAGATAACTTTCAAAACTGAAGACAGCTAACCCTTTCTGTCCAGCAATGTTGTCCTCATGAAAGCTCCCTCCCTCATAGAGAGACTTTGGTGATGAATGATGCATTAACTATCATGCTTCATTACTGAGAAGAATATAAAAACAAGCCCTGGCAAAACACTCAGGCCTTTTACTTTTGCAAACTGGTTCCCTCCATTTAAAAGTGTCAAACTGTCCCTGCTATGCAGAGAACCTCTGTTTGCGTTTGGACTGTCTGTGTGGCCTCCCAAGTCTCTTTTTGGACAGTCTGAGAAAGGACTGATTTCAGTGGGTATCACATAGCTACAGGACTATTGATAAACTGTTATCTAGACACCAAAAGTATCAGTATGTCCAAATATACATAGCACTGAACATAGTAAGTGGACCAGATGTGCAAATGTTTTAAATACAAGACTCCAACGAGCACCTGATGTGAGCCCAGGTTCACCAAGGTGACAGAGGCTCCCAGCGCTGCAAGTCTGTCCGCTGCCAGCGCCACCATCCGTATCACTTCTCTCCTCAGCTCTGGCTGAACAGAATCGCTTTCCACAGCCACCCATTCCTTCAGATGCTGCACAGGGAGCAAAGGAGTGCAGTTAGATCACCCAGGATGCTGCTGGGTTTGGCCCTGGAACATGAGAAGCGTCACAATTCTGTCCCATCTCAGCAATGTTGTGGATGCTGCAAGGCTTCAGAATTCAGAGGAGTCACTTGGATCCCCCAGGGACAATCCTGATTTTCTGAACAGGGATGGTGCCCATGCTTAGGCATTCACACTGTCAGCTGTGGATCTAAAACCCCGTGGAAGAGGAGGTATCAGCTGGATGCTGATCAGATGGCACTGCAGAGACTGTATTACGTGCAAATTACTTCAGTGGTTCTCGTGAGGCTTCAGAAGTGCTCACAGCTTTAAGGCATAACTGATGCTGATTGGACTAATGATTCTTCTGCCTTTTCACAGGGAACTGACAAAAATGAAAGCACAAACTAGCATGGGACCAAGGCCCCTTTCCCTGCCAAGAGCAAACCTACAAAAATCAGTTCTGATGTAAAGCAAGTGAGAGAGCAGCCCATCTATTTTGCTTCTCCCTTGTGGCTTACTGGAGCCTCTCTGAGCACACTCAAAGGATGCCCACAGCCATCTGGTTTGTGGAAGTCCATCCAGATCCCTCTTCCCACTCAAAGGGTCCCCATCACAGACTGTCCCTGTGCAGCCGTGCTTTGTGAAGCACATGTACCACACCAGATGCCAGACCTGGAACCCTGTTACCTTAGACAAACACCCATCTGGCACACAGAGCACAGGTCTCTGGGGCACCACTGCTGCATTCATCATTTCCTACCTCAATGAAATCGCTTTGATGTACATCAATGTACTCGAAGATCTCTGTCTCCAACACTGAAAAGGATGAGGAGGACATTGCTGCTTTGAGCAGTAGTACAGGGCTAAGATGGATACTATCTGAAAGTTGAGGATAAAATTCAATGTTAGAGACATCCTGCAATATGCACTTCTTTTCAGTGCTAGAAGGCATAAACAATTGGTAATTGATGAGCCTATTGAAGTCTCCTTTAAGTTCTTCAAGCCACGAGAAAGTATACCTGAATTCTTTTATCACATAAAACCTTCAGTTGAGTCATAGTCACATTTCTGAAAGAAAAAAGTGAAAAAAGTGACCAAAAAGTGAGCAGCTTTACGATTTCTGCTTTATAAGGACATTAGTGGAAGTGTTTGCTAAAGAAACATTTGTTACACCAATTTTCAATGCACAAATTTCAAATTGTACGTTCTGGGAAGACAACTCCATGGGAAAACTTGAAAACATCAACACACACCAATGGCCCAAGGGACTCTCTTTTCATTTTCAAAAAGAGGGAAAAAAATGGATTCATGGACACACATTGGATATTTTACATGAATAAGAGAGAGCAATCCTGACACTGGAGAGTGTTAGACATCAAATAGCTTTGGTGGCTGAGTAAGAATGGTGTCAATACTGAAACACTTGATAAGTGCAGAAGTCACTTAGTACTTACAAATCTCTCTGCCACCTTGCTTTTGACAAGATTTAAAAAAACAAGTTTTTTTAAGCATTTTTCTTCCTTCCTGCAGTTTTCCTTCCCTGTTTCCTTAAAGTTCTTGCTGTAGTTTGAGTTGGTATTAGCAGAGTAATGCTTGGATGGTTACATACATGGCTGGGCTAAATTCAGCTCCTGTCTCGGGCTGTGCAATGGGATGGTCTGCAAGGTCAAACCCCAACACTTGGATTCTAAAAATAGTCTATACTGGTAACAAAATGTGCAGTTGCAGATCCATCCATAACCCCTTAACTTTGATGCATTGCTAAGGTGATAGGCTATGGTAATATTAATAATTTCAATTATGTTTCTCTGACAGAGAAGAAAGATGAAAAACCCAAGCATGATGAACAAGGAGGGGGACGTTCAATTTAGCTAGAGTTCCTGGTTCTATGAAGGATGTGCCCCATTTTCCAACCTTCCCTTAGAAGCAAAGTTGGATCCACATTGCCTGTGACAGCTCACTCTGAAGTGAAGCCCTGAGAAGGGCTGTGACATTAGGTGTCATCCCCAGCACCCAGTCCAGACCCTGACCTCTGTCGACACTGCAAACCCTGGTACTGGAAAAGGCTGGTTTTGCAGGACAGTGAAGCTGCACAGCACTGCTACAGAGACGACTTACCTGAGACAAGAAAACCCAAAGGTGGGTGGGATTTTTTGCATGGACAGATTAAATGTAGGCATGTTATATATATGTAGGAATATTATTTAAAGCTAATACTTGCTGGCAAAGAAAAACACCCAAACCCTTCAGTGATAATCAAAGTACCACTTTCTTCTCACATTGTTTTCTCCACAAAAAGGTAAGCCCTACCTCCGAGAGGTGGATCTAATCAACCATCCCCTCCAACACCAGTCTCAGTAGCAGCAAATTGGCTTAAACCGAAAGGATTTTTTGAAGCAAGAATGAAAAAACTTCAGGATATTTCAGAAGCAGCAAAGCAGCTTCTGGGATTTAGCAACAGAGATGTGGTGGAGAATGAGGGTTTGGTGTTTTGTAGCTTAGGTTGTAATCATCTTGGGATAGAGCTTCAGCAGGTACGGTTTAACAGCAGGAGTTTTGCAACAACCACTCCAAGCCTGAAATCCCAAGTCTGGCTATTTCTTCCAGCTTTGGACTGGGCAAGTGGCTGCAGGTCTTTGGTCACTGAAGTCCCTTTTACAGAGGACAATAGCACATTGGAGTGCGATCACAGACATGGTCAGGAAGACTTCCTGGGGTGCACAGGGCAGACAAGACTAAGAGTCCCAGGCTGGGGTGGTGGTAACTGTTCCCTGATGAACAGAGCTTCCTCACAAAGGTGAGACACTGCTGCTTGTTGGGGTGGTGCCCGGGTAGATGCAGGAGGGTGTTTGAGCTGAGACACTGCTGGTTGTGTCCAAAAGGAGCCCAAAGTACAGGCAGATGATCAGCACTGGGTAAAAGCCAAGCATGGAGGCCATTTAGGTTGTTTGCTCCTTTTTGTTGCTGTGTGCTTTTGGGGCACCAGGCTTTGCTTGTGTGATGCTCCTCATTCTTGCCGTTGCCAGCAGCCTTTGGTCCCAGGAGAGCAAAGTTTACCTTCACACTGGTCCCTATTACAGGCATGGCACCTTCTACCTCTGAGCTGGATCTCACAGAGCAGAGCTGGTTCCACATGGGCTGAGGAGAGGACAGACACCCAGTAGGTACGTTTGTGAGGGGCTCCAAGGATGTGGAAGGCACTGCACCTCCAGAAGAGAATCACAGGAATAGGCATCGTACAATGTGGTCATTCATCTGAAAGTGGGACAAACCCTAGTCTTGCCATGGGCATTTGCAACAGACTGGTTGAGAGATCCCAGCATGTGAGGATTTTAATCAGATGTCCACCTACAGATACTGTAGGGCTGTTACTTTCATTTACCAGAAAGCCTGCTAGATGCCTGTTTCACGTTTAGAAAAGGAGAATGTTTCGTTAGCTTTTAACTGTTTAAGAAAATGAATTGAGGAAACCAAAATGCTGTGAAGGATTAAAAAAAAAAAAAACACTACACATTCAAACAAGCAAAACATCCTAGGAATATTTGAAATAATTCTGTGATATTTTCAAAAAAGGACAGACTTCAAGAAAAGCTAATAGAATATCACAAAAATAGTTTTCATAAACAAAAATAAGCATGAACTGATACAAAGCTGGGAAAATGAATGTAAGGAGATACTTATGTTGTCCTGAAATGAGCAGAGTGCACCCAATACTAATAATTCAAACAAGAAATTTGGTAGCAGCTATGTGGTGCTGTACTTGAGGGAAAGCGGGGAGTAACAGAGTGCAGTAACATGGAGTTCCAACACACAGATAACTGCTCAAAAGTATGTGGATTGCAACTGGCAAAGTTTGTGTAGAAAAGGGAGTCAGTTTAACAGAAGAGTAGAAAGATTTCAGGCAAGGCTAAAATAGCTCAGTGTTACAAGGAGGGGAAAGATTATTTGAAAGGATGATAAAGCCTTGGAGGGAAAGAAATATCAAACAGACTTCAGTGTTCAATTTCAAGTGTTTTTTTGTTTGATGCCATTTTAAAGAGCAGTTGCTGCTTTACAGGAAAATGTAGTAGTACTATTTTTAGACATAATGCATGACAGTCACACAGTTTCTCTTCCTTCGTTCCTTAGTAGTAAGAACATTTCGTGTCTCACTTCCTCCCATCTTGTTAAGTACTGTTAAAAGAAAACTTTCTTAGGCAGTGATTTAGCAAGAAATTCAAAAGTTGATTCTTTAACTAGAATGACGCTCTGATAAAATATCAACTAAACTTACAAGCATTTGGGAAGCAGCTCCTGAAGGTGCTTTGCTGCCCTCCTGGAGCAATGCCTCACATGCTTTCCCCACTGGGATGCAGCATTTGAGGTGTGTGCGTGCAGGGGGTGCCAATTAAAACTGAACATTTTGCAGCCATCCCAAAGAACAAGTCAGAAGTTATTGAGTTTGCAGAGAATATAAAGAACATTTATGAAAGGAGACAAAGATGTACATGGCAGGAAGAGCTCATTTACCAAACCAGAGATGGACTCTGTTGAAAGAGAGATTCTCTCTAAGTACTCACCAGCAAGGAAGATACCTGAAATAAGGGGGTTATTGTTTAGCTCCCTTTAACAACATTCACTGGTAAGTGGCCTGCCTTTGGTGGAAGCATGCAGTCAGGCCTCAGTCACTTCTCCAGCTGACTAGGTGAGACCCTTGGGGGAAGATGTCTCCACATGGCAGCCCTCAAGCACAGCCCTGACCACATGCAGCCACTGTGGCTGTAATGACCAGGAGCTGCAGAGACCCAGGCACCTGCAGGGGTTGCACTCCTGCTCACAGACCCTGGCTGCATCTGAAGGTGATGAAAGAAATGGCATCAAATCCAAGACATGGTGTAACAGCAATGAAAACGTTTGGTGGGAAGCAGAGGTAGGAGCTGGCATTTGCTGGTGGTGACCCAGGGCTGGTTCCAGCACTCAGCTCTTCAAAAAAGCATTGCAGCAGGAGCTACCTTAAGGGTGTTTCAGAGAAGAGCAGTGACTGGCCCTGCCCTTGCTCAAGCCGACTGCTTCAAGAAAAAAGTGAAACCCCATTTATCAGATTTGCTTTGCTGTAATACAGATATTAGAAAAGAAAGTTCTTACCTCTTTGTGCTCTTGTTTTGCAGCTGCCTTTATGGCTGGCGATGAGAGCTTGAACTGGAATGATCTCCTCTTCCCCTGCTGAACAGGGACATCTTATCTCTGTTCACTGATAACTTCTGCAGTTATGAAGGGTTATTTTTAAGTTAAAGATTGACTTCTGGTTTAGATGCTTGAGTCTGCTTCTCTATCATATAATAATCCAAGCAGGATACCCAAATCACTACCATATCAAGCCATGAGGCATTTCTCCATCTCCTTTTTCCTTCTTTTCTCCCTCAAAAACCCAGATCCTAACAGGAATCTCAGCATCAGGAAGCACTTCAGTTTTGCTGATGTTACTGTTTACAATAGTATTTTGGAGGACTTAGAAGAAGTGGCTTTTGTTTGTAGCTTTGATTTGAAAAGTAGAAAAGAATAGATAACATTTCTGTTGAGGAGAACTTCTCCCAGGAAGCAATATTTCCCTCTGTGCCCACTCTGGAGAAGTAACTCACTAGTGACCTAAGAAATTTTTCTAAGCTTGGCTGCTCATTGGTTTGCAGTCAGATAAACACTGGTATAAAAAGGTCCTACTTGGGAAGACAGCTGGTGCTGTCTTTTGCTCCTTTCACAGCAGAAGGTTAATAGGAAAGAACTGTGGGAGGTACAGCCGAGTACCAACGATGCGCACTAGTGTGTAAGGCTGAGCTGCTAACATGGTTCATAATGCCCTTA